TGTAGAAAACTTTTAATTAATATTTTCTTAAAATATATATGTACATATAAAATTATAATATTAGATTTTTATTATAATATTGAGTTTTTTTTTTCAATTTAAAGAATATGCTTTTATAAAGTAGAAACTCTGCGAGTATCACTGTTAATATCTCGAAAATAAAGAGCAAGCCTTTTTAATAAAGGTTTATTACGGCGATCAACTTATTACTTTTGATATTGCTTTTTTTACGATATTTTAAACGAGTCGCAGTTCTTACGTAGTAATATATTAATGACTTTCTGTGACCATTTCGAAAACCGCGAATGATTCCTTTGGTAAATTTCGCCGACAAACACCGCGATTATCACATGGCCTCTTTATGAGATAAATCTTTCTTATAGAATTCCGCTCTAAAAGCTTGCCAACATTCTTCCGGCTATTTATACATGTGCTCAAATAAAATTCATAGATATGTGAAATAGCGAACGGGGCAAAAAGGGAGCAAAGTGACACGAGTCGTTAATATGTCTGATAAATTTATACGCGGGGCAAGTAGTGTAAGCGCGCCTGATGAGTAATCTGACATAAACACTTCAAGATCCTTATCTACTCACGTAGATCGCATACGATATACAGAAAGTCGAGCCACGGCACATATTCGTGTTCCTTTCAGACGGCGAAGATTAAATAGAGGATCGAATTTAAATGCAACCGGAAGATCGATACGTTCCTCGGATATTCATCCTTCGAGAATGTCGAACGACTATTTCTCCTCGTGACAGATTCCCTCTCGCTCTCGAGGGTGATTAGATAACTAGAGAGGATTATTCAGTAGAAAATCATCGCAAATTGAATTGGCGTAGGCACATTTAAGTGTTTAAGTGTTTAAATGTTTCGTTCGCACGCCGGAGGCTAAAAATCACAGAGCACCGCAAATCCACTGCAAAGATGTCGAGCTCGCCGCGAGTACGAAAAATACCGCCCAGGCCAAAGATCATACTACCGATTCCGGGACAATACTATCCGCAGACAGCGACCGGTATGGGCTATGTGTCGACGCCGTACGGACAAACTCCGATGCCCATGACGCCGATGCCCATGACGCCGATGCCCATGACGCCAGTTTCCGGTCAACCGCAGGTGATCTACGCTAACCGGGCCAGTGAATTCGTCTTCACGCAATTCAAGGGGATCAAGGATCTGACCAAGTCTGGACTCAGCGTGGGAGAGAAAAGTGCCTTTTGGCTTTACGAGAAGGTAACAATCGAAAGAAAGAGATATCCTTTTTTTACATACTATTGATGTTGAACATAGTTAATGTGGAGATTTCTTAAAGAATTATCAAGAGAAAACAAAATTAGCATTGATCTTACAATTAGTATCATTCGTAATGTAATATATATGTATATAAATACCATATTATATTTTTTTTTAAATTGTGTTAATGCCCTGATAATAAACGTTTTGTGCAGGTCAGTTCTTGGAGCAAAAGATGGTTCACACATATTTTTTTATTCGTTATTGTGCTTCTATACAGCATCGCTGGAGCGATGATCTTCGTAACGGTTGAGGGCACAAACGAGGAATCTGGTCGCTTCAATATCCGGAAAAGGAGGTAAGCTAGAATTAAAATAAATATAGAATGAAATGCATAATCCCAACAACATAAATAATAATATAATAATTAATACAAGACATTGTTTTTAATGAAAAATCCTGAATACCGATAAAATTAATGTTGATCATGAGTCAGCAAAGAGTTTTCAAGATTTTCATGGACCATTATGCAAGCTTTATTATTTACTTTTTTATTAAAATATAATTATGGGGCGCGTATTTAATTATGCCAAAAAAGGGTGCAACGTATTAAAAGAGATTGTTGAGAATCCTGTAAAAATGTAGGACAATTGAACGGGTCAAGTGAATCTTTTGCAATACAAAAAAATGTCATTCCACACGTGCTAATGATTGGGCGACTTTCCGCACCATAATATCCGGCAGTTAACCGTGTGCGGGAATTTTAATCTGATCTTGATTGGTCCCGTAATATACCAACATGTGCGGGCGCGACAGTTGTTGTGGTTTCAATTCAATCCCGTTGTCGATAATGTTATTCCTGATCCCGCCTAGCCCCTCCACATCAGTTCTGTATAATCGTTCGCCATGCAAACCAGTATTGGATTTCGCGATCGAACGTATAACATTATTTGCAAAACTGCTCGTTTTAATGTTATTATATAACTTTTATATTCCACGAAGCCCTTCGTCGTTTTTCTGGATCGATATCATAAGTTGAAAGCTTATTTTTCAACGACAAACTCAATGCATTAATGGTCCATTTTTTCCTGTAACTTGATAAAAATTCAATAAAAATTATTGTTTTATTTCTGTGAAAAATGCGAACATACATATTCTCCATGTGAAAGCTATTATCTTTCTATTATATTTATCTTTGTGATATTTTTTTAACCCGCGATACATTTGTCACGAAATAATAAATTAAATGTTTACATGACACACTTTCACGATGCATCGCCTGATGGCCCATCACGTCAACGAGTACTATCTCGCATTTTTCTTTGCCCGTCAAATGATTTTCGCCGTAATTTTCTGTTTCTAAAATCGATCGTGACTTTGGTATGAAGGCCAGGTCGGCCGCGAGAAGTCGACAGCTTATCTACAATATAAGAAATAATGGCCTCGCGTGATAGATACAATAAAGACGGTATGTAGCGTGGACAGGGACTGGGGTTAGATATTCGGCAATTGTACATTTATGTGCGCACGATATTAAGAATTAAGATGAAGGAAGGTGGTCAAGAAATCGTTTCTCTTGAGTGAAGGTCAGAATTAATGTTTGTATCTGGTCAGAAGAAATTAGAATAGAGTGAAGCAGTGAAGATACTTTGCTATGATCGCGTGACAGTGAAATATAGGTATTATTCTGTACCTTGTAGCCTAAATTTAATCAAAAATAGTCTAAAGCGTTTGTATGATAGAGAAAATGTATCAATTAGGAAATAATAATACTTTAATATTAATATAATTATAGTGTGCGTATCTCTCGGGTCTCTTTATTTGAGCAAAGAACAAGTCTAGGAAGTTCCTCCTAAAATTAACTCTCGAAATCAAGGAGTGGTTCAGAATGATTCCGTCTTCTCAATGATAATAAAGCGCTATTATGTCAGATTGGAACAGAATCTTCTATTATTGGCTAGACGTGCCTTATTTATTTGATACCTGTTTAATACGAGCATTTTAATTAATATTACTCTGATGGCTTTATATATCGAAAGAAAGTTTTTATCTGGTTTTAATGAGGAAATACGACAAAGTTTATGCCGCCGATTTTTTTGAAAATGTGGGGATAACACATGTCACAATACGAAACAGTCCACAATTTTCATACTCTCTCTTTCTCTCTCTCTCAAAGGTTTTACTATTAATTAAATCAAGTTAGTCATCATCAGCAATTAAATTTATACACGTAAAAAAATAACTTATTCATTATTAAAAATTTATTTAGTAATAAAACTGATAATATAAGTTTTTATAAAATAAATTGCTAAATATTATATCGTAACAAGTAGTCTAAAAAAGATAAAAAGAAAAAATAACATAAATATTTAGCTTAATTAAACGTTTTATTAAACGCGCAAACAATTTGTTTTATAAGGTAAAACGTAAATGTGAAACGTGTGTTTGCCAATTTGTATTTTTATATTTCCTTTCGTGTGTGGTTATAAACTCTTGTAATCATTTCAAGTATTGCAACATATGTAAAACGCATTATTTGAAATAGTATCAAGCTCTTAGCTTCAGTCATCTTAAGTGTCTTATTTGATTGTAGAAACGATACGCTCGAGATGATCCGCGGATTTTGCGACGACTCGGTTTTGGCATCAGATTTAAATCGTTGGAAAGGACGAGCGGCAGACGAGCTAATGGAATACGAAAATGATCTGTATGAGTTTTTCAAACGAGGCTTGACGGACCGCGGTCAAAAACTGTGGACATTCTGGAACGCCGTGTTTTACTGTGGCACAATTTACACGACCATCGGTGAGTAGAATATTTCTAGCATCGTTCGATTTAATCGCTCATTGGCAATTCGCCACTTTAACAATTAACTAGAAATCCTGGTCTTGGCAATTAAAAGATATTTGAAATTTTACAAATATAGTTTGTTAAATTTAATACAAACGATTCTCCAATATCATATTCTTACATGTAACATTGTTAACAATATTATCTCTGTATCGAATAACAAAATTCGTCTCTCCCTCTCTCTCTCTCTCTCTTTCTCTCTTCACGTTTCTCTTCATGTCAAAATATTCTCAATACAACACGTGCACACATATGGGGCTTACGAAATGTATATTTTCTTTGCTGAAAGACAAACATAATCTTGACACTTGCATAAAAAAAGATGGAAGGATGCTATTTGTGTGATATATGCCTCTTGGAAAATAGAGCAATTTTTTTTACGAGACATATCTTCGTACACGTCGAAAACAGGAAAGCCGAGTGGGTCGAGCGTCTTAAGAGATACACGATTATTATGATAATCGCGATTCTGACAAAACATTTTGTGATTATATTTCAACCCGCGTCGTTCCGCTTATAAAAAGCTCGCGGAAGTTATTTTTATTTATTCTCGAATGTCTTGATGAGATCGGGTTTATTTATCTTGCATTGCATTACCGAGCGAATTATCAGATGCACGCAGATAAACTGTGGGAGAAACTTGTGTATTGCACTACGTGTATCAACATGCTGCGTGTGCAGCACGACTGATCTCATCAATCCTAGTGTTCTATTGCTTTATGTATAAATTTATATAGCTTGTATAGAGCTCTGGATAATACCAATGTACATTGATTTGAAGGCGAACCTGTTGGACTTAATCCTTTTGTGTATAAAGATAATATTATTATATCATCAATGACACGTGTTAATAAAAAATGCTCTTTCGCGTAGCAATGTTTTATAAAACTCGAGATAATCATTGCTTTCTTATTTATGACACGAGTAGAATTAATATCTTTATATACTCGTATAAGAGAAAAATTAAATTTTCAACTTTTAATTAATACATATATTACAAACTAAGTTACAAAAAATAAGATAGCAATATAAGACTCGATATATTTTATCTATTTATAAATTATTTATAATTATATGAGCAAAAATAAAATGCAACAAAAAAATGTAATAAAATGTAATAAATTCTCGTAGATTTTTTTTTATGGGAAATTCGCGCTATCGACTAATACGTGACCTAGTTTAGTAGGTACTCTCTGCAATTTTTTTTCTCGCGCGGAAATTGACATATATGCGGGATCCACATATATATCTCACTGATGTTCAACTGCGGGAAATGTTCGTTGACACATTGTTGTTTTACCATGTCAATATTTATCAAAATTCTCTGCATTGTATTTGCATTGAAAATGATATTCCACTAACATTTTGATCACGATGGCGGATGGATTATTTTATGACAAATAAATTGTAAAATAAAGAGTTAAACATAAATATTTTTTTTATATTTTGACTTTGATTTAAATCTTTGCTTTCATTGTAATTATTTCACATATTCTTTAACATTTTTTACGCTGTCGAGAATGTGCTAATAGATTCTTTACAAGTCTAAATTATATGATTTCGTATCATACGAAAGTTTAAAATAACGTAACTTTAGAAAACAGGGAAACTTTATGATTTATGATACACAGATTATTATAGAAACATCGGTTTTTTTCATGTTTTTTTTCGGATGCACAAACGCGTGCATGTACCAATTTATATACGCTCGAATAAACGTATATATCTGCTGGTTGTGCTAAGGTTGTGTTTGAATTGTGAATGCACCAACAAATTAATAAAATTAAAACTAAAAATGAACAATTTCTGTTACGAGAAGAATCGACTCAAAATTCGTCGAAATACCTATGATAGGGAAAAAGTATCGCAATATCTATATGCGTGAGAGCACATCCTTTATATAAATATATAAAATATATTCGCAGACAAGAGAGATATGCGCATATTTTTATTTTAAATTTTGCGACTCGAACATTGCACACATTCGTGCATACAATTTTCTAAACGATGACGTTGTAATGCCCACGCATACTATTTCGAGTTTTGTCATTATATAACGGAAAAGAAGGTGAGTAAGATGATCGTGCAAAGACCAGACGTGTTTTCGAATTCTCGACGGAGACACAAAGAGCGAGAGATGCTCTCTCGTGACGTTTTCTCTCATGCGACCGAATTAAACGCACTTACTCGGCCCACGTTGTGATATCGGGTGGAAAATGCGAGATTATTACCGATTCATTTCACACATCGACAGCTCGATTAGTAATTAATTGATGACATGAATATTTGAACGATGAATGTCGTTATTAGATTTTAATTAAAGCATACGCAACGAAATGATGCCAAAAATTGGTATTTTGAATTGTTTTATACATGCTAATGCATGTCTATAAATTGACGTATCATGTTATCTGCGATATTTTTTTCCGCTTGACAAATAAGAATTAATTTATTGATTTATAACATAAAAACGGAAAATAATTAATTATATACAATTAATCTAATTTCGTGCATTTTTGCGAGATAATAAGTTAAAATGTCAATCTCCGAATGTATACAAATATATTTCAAGATTAATTAAGCTGTATGCACGTTTCACGAAATATCCGGTAACATTTACGGTTTCGTTTTAATTATGATGATAGTTATAAATGAGTGTCGCATAACATTGCTGCAACGACAAAGGCGCGTTGGGAATATACGCGATTGTTTTGCTTCAGTGTAGCAAAGAAGAAAATACGTTTCTGCGAATTATATTTTTAGTCTATAAATTGTCGATCTCGAATCGCTAACGAGATGAGAAAAGATCCGTATAAATGTCTATCGATATTTAATCCAAAATTCTGTTTGAATGTAAATTATTCGATTTATCTTCTTGGAAAGAATTTCGTTCGTTAAAACTTAAACATTTTTCGAGTATATCGTATAATAATCGCTGAACTTTTTCACTTTATTTATTTATATATATATATATGTATGAAAAATCACATATACAGGTTAAAAAAGAAACCATTTAATATTTATATAGTAGATAGGACACACCATACTGAGTAAAAAAACCTTAGTAAACATAAGTCGATAATTAAATCGTTTCTGAGATATAAACATTTTTGTATGTTAGCATCATGATTGACTTACTGGCTTCTACGTGTCGCATGCGATGTGAGAAGAAGATAATCTGTCTTAATCTTTATCTCGATATTTACAGAAGGTGTTCCACATGTCCTCCTTCCATTTCCATACATACTTGGCATCTTCTTCTTACAGAATCTCTCGCGAACTCTCTCGAAAATTCCAGGTCTTTGTCGAATTATTTGACAAGCACGCTGGATTCGGTCACGTAATTCTTCTAAATCATTTTTCGGCGAAGAATACACTATGCTTTTTAAATATTCCAATAAAAAAAGTGTGATCACTGTGTAATCACCAAATCGCAAAGATCCGCAATCGCCGGTTGATAACAACTGACTGATTGTTGGTGAAATCTTCTGTTATGAAGTATGTATGGAAATGAGGACATTCAGAATGCGGTTTATAAACATTGAGGTAAACATCGACACGTAGAAGTCAATCATGATGCTAACATACAAAAATGTTTATATCTCAGAAACGGTTGAGCTTTCAATCTGTGTTTTCAAACTAAGGTTTTTTTACTCAGTATGGTGTGTCTTATCTACTATATAAATATGGAATGGTTTTTTTTTAACACCCTGTATATAGCTACCGTATAAACTACCTTTTCTCATATCTAACTCAATTCAATCATTTTAATACTCTAATGTGAATACATATTTTATAGAAAGATATTATGTCATCTTCAAGAAAGAGAGAGAAAGGGAGAGAGAGAGAGAGAGAGAGAGAGAGAGGAAGAGAAGGAGAGAAAAAGAGATGAGGACATTCTGTTTTTTTTATTTATCAATGCAAATATAAAAAGCGTATTCCTTTTTTGGACTGCTGAGTTTAATTCGAAATTACTATAATTCTTCTTTAACTGTTTTCATCTTGCTTAATTGATTTGCTTGAATTAAATCACAATTATGATAATAATTTAATTATTTTCTAGATTATCATAATTCTTCCTTTCATCGTTGTTTCGTTAATCTGCTCCATACAATTAGACTAAATTACAATCGTAACATAATTCCATTACAATATGCAAGTATGAGCCGTATATGTGTATAGAGAGAATGTATACAATCTACAATATATTTACCATAATTAAATCTAGGTATAAAACATCACATCTTTAAAAAGCTGTATATTATACTATAAGTATAATATTATACAGCTATATTTTCGTGCTTGCTATCTAATCAATTGTTATAATTCTCGTGTTGATCTCTTTGCTTCTTTCTTTTTCAACAAGTGGAACAATTAAATTTTTGATATATTAAAATAATGTTTGATTAATGTTTCTTTCATTTTCAAAAAATTTTCTAGTTTCGAAAAATCTTTTTTTCGTGTCATTTGTATAATCGACGTATTCCCAGCTGATCGTCTCGCAGAACCCCTGATCACAGGGGTCACAAGGTCAGACCACCCACACCACGATTCCGGTGGTGCAGCGCAAACGTCGGGCGGGTTGCGGTGGATGCAGGCGCGGCGTCGCGACGCCAAAGCGACGAATTTCGCGTTGCGCACGGCGCCGTCGCTCGATATCCGCTGCGGCACAGAGCCGGTCATCCGGTTCCGCTGCCGCTGGTAGCGGCAAACATCGCGAGCGTCGCGGTGCCGACGGTGGTGGTGGTGGTGGTGGTGTTGATGGCAGGTGGTGGGAGCAGCCTCCGTTTTATTTCTGTCCCGGTTTCGTCGGGGCCGGTCTCGCGAGCGTGTCGAGTACGTTTTCCTTCGCGAAAATCTCTCTCGCGTACACGAAGAACGTCAACGACAACTACGAAGATTCGCAATGGAGGATAGTTACATGGTACATAGACGTCGCAAGGCGGCCGCCAGAAAGCGCGAGAAGACGCCCGATCCCTCGTCGAGGGGTGCCGCGTCGCGCATGGACACTTCGGATGACGAGGACGAGGAGAGGCGCACCAGAATGGAGAGAATGGCCGAGGAGGCTGAGAAAATGGATCAGCAGCAGAAGGAAAACAGATTGGCGCAGCAGCGACAAGAGGAGACTGCGAAGGGACCAGAGAACCGAGACAAAAATAGGGATGTTCACCAGGAGCAGCGTCCTGTCCGAAGAAAGGACAGAACTGACGCGAGGAAATCTGCGAACGTAGATGACATGATCGCTATACGTGCCGAAGTGGCCGCCAAATCAACGGCGGCTGAGAATAATTCTGGGAAAACTGACGTCGCAGCGACTGATGACAACACGCGGTTGATAAAGCAGACTACCGAAGCAATAAACAAGTTTGACGACGAGAGTACCACGAAGAGAGATGTCATCAAAGCCGAAATTGATCAAGTGGTCAAGGAAAACCTGATCGCCCAGGAAATGTTGGAGACACCGAAGGAAACGAATGGCGAGACCGTCAAACCTGTCGAAGTTCGCAAAGTCGAAAGACGATTTAAAAGAAAGTCGAAGGAACGCGTAGAGAGGTATAGTCGATCAACGGATTCTAGCGATGCGGATGAGAAGAGCGAGTCGAGTCAAAAGAGGACAAAGTCGCCGGAAGCAGCAAGGCCCAGGGCAAAGAAGACGAGTGGAAAAAGTCGTGTCAGCGATCCGGAAATCCAAAAGAGGGATGCCGAAAGACAGAATCGAGAGAAGAAATCATCGAGTCGACAAAAGCTGGAGGACGAGTCTCGGACGAAAGATAACGCCGAGAAACCACGTTCGAAATCTTATAGTCAGACCGAGGAAACGGACGAGGATTTGAAGAGCGTCAAGAAGAACGAGAACTCCTCACAGAGACCTGAAGAACGAATAATCAAGAAATCTTCCATTGAACTGAAGAAGCAGATTATCCCGTTGAACAATGACAGTTTGATCGAGGACTTCGCAAGGGCTCAGAGAGAATACTTGTTGAAGGAGCGCAGTATTCTGGATCCGGACACTACAGATGTCTTTCAGGATGCAGTTGAAACTAGTTTTTTGAGAAGGCGGACGTTCAGTCTGGCGCACACTGAAAGCGAACACAAAGAGATGCAAGATGCAACGGAGTCTTCCGATGCAGCTAAGTCTTCCGATAAGAAGAAATCGTGGTTCTCCTGGATGATCTTCTGGCGTAGAAAACAAGAGGATAATGATGTCGCGGAGGAGAAGATTGAGGACGAACCAAAGCCGACTCCGAAAGTTGAAGAAATTAAAGCGGAAAAGCAAGAAGCTCCGGAAAAAGTTACTCTGTTGGACTTCTTCAGAGCGCTCAAAGATGTTGTCGGCGAATTCAAAGTCTTCGTCGAACAAAATCCACGAGAGACGACGATCATCAGACGGCTACGTAATCGCTGCATAGCCGGATTGCTGCTCGTAATGATCTATTGTGGCCTCGGCGGCTTCATCTTCCGGTTCGTTGAGGGTGCCTTCGAGTCGTTTTACAAATGCGGCGTGAAGCGTGTGAAGAGGGATTTTTTGGATAGTTTATGGAATTACAGCCACAATTTGAGAGAGGATGACTGGAAGAGCATGGCGCGTAAGAAACTGATGGAATTCGAAGAGCAGCTTCATACCGCTCATGAAGCCGGTCTGCACAGTTACAGCGGTCAAAAGAGCTGGAGTTTCTTGAACGCGGTTGCGTACTGTGTCACCGTCATCACCACCATCGGTGAGAAAATATTTTGGGGGAAGAGAAAGAGAGAATAATCTTCCTGAACTGAAGAAGTCGATTCTCTAAGATAGTCTTCTAATATATTTTCCATCATTTCTTTTTTTTTTTTTAATCAAGCTTGAGAGTATTGAAGTAATGCAAGACTGAAAAGAATGTATCTTCATGATGATTTAATCAAAATAAGTTTTCTCGAATTGAAATACACTTTAATACTCTTTTGTTATACCTGTTTTTTTAAATATTTTGTTGCAAAGTGTTTTCTAATATTTTGCAAAGTACAAAAATATTAAGACTATTAAAACTTTCAAAAACTAATAATTTAATTCTTAACTATAAATTAATTATTTATAATTAGTAAAATTATACTTTCCTCTAAGATATAACTATATTTATCCGAGTTTTTTTTTACGAGAGAAGTCGTATTTTAATAGCTAGAAAAAATGAAAAATTTTTTTAATTCATTAAAATAAATTCCGCTATTAGATTGCTATTGTATAATAGCTAACACTGAAAATATATTGATAGTTTAACATATTTCGCGTGCGCGTGGAGAGGGGCATTATGTTAGTGAAATATATTTTGTTGCGACAATAAAGGCACGCAAAGTTAATATACATAGGTATATTTACCTTGCGAAAATTTGCGAATAAGCTTCATGTTCCATTTGACGTAAAACGTTTTATGGTCCGATATTGATTTTCTGCCACATGAATGCAGTGAAATTCTGTTGTTTAGATTCTGATCTAGTGTGTCAAAAGAAACGTTGCAGACATAAAAGCTACATAAACAAAGCCATTTGATTAGTGTCTATTTCGATTATTTCTAGCTAAAATTAATAAAACGAAATATCATTGCATATTATAATAAAATAAAAAGCATTTAAATTAATTAATTAATTCAATACATTTTGTTCAATATTTTATGTTTTATGTTTTAAATTCCGATTTGTTCGAATGGTGCATATGAACCAATACTGTCTAGATTCTAGATCACCTGGTGAGCGCGATAAATTTGGACCAGAGGAAAAGACACGGACTCGTATTATGTAATGCTTACAGTTTTCCGATGAAATAGTAAATTCACAGCTGAATACATCTGAACGGCATGATCGTGTCAATGAGATTGTTCAATTGTATTCAGCCAGGTTGGTTCTTCGATCATGCGATCCAAAGTCATCAAATCTACAAGAAAATAACCGCCGACTTGCTACGTCGCTGAATAATCTAAACATAGATTAATCGTGCGTAAACGAGCCACTTTTGATTCAACAATATAAGAGACCAACGCAAACAAAATAAATTATAATTATTGCGAAAGATTTCATTCCATATATGCGTCTTATAAAATTAAATGTAACACCCCATTGTGTGCATTTTATAATATTAAATAAATATAATCTAAACACATACGCGTGATAAATAAATATTATGTAAATATATATTTTCATACACAATATCGAATTGGACGATTTTTTTCAGAATATGATATAAGGAAAAATAACACATAAATGTCATAATATTATTAATGCATGATATTATACTGTAATAATATATTTGTATTGCTATGATCTAGATAGTTTTTTTTAATTTCAGGATACGGACATATTTCGCCAAGTACAACTGCAGGAAGAGCCATCACGATCGTATACGCTATTTTCGGTATTCCGATGTTTTTAATTATCCTGGCCGACTTCGGTAAGTTATTTACGCGCGGTATAAAGTTCCTGTGGGCATTCGTGAGAAGATTATACTATACTGGTAGCTGTCGCAAGGTTCGTCACACTGGGCCTGTTCAGGTGAGACGATATTCAAGTGCCTCAAAAAAACATTATTAGTCAAGGGAGAAATGAAGTTAATTATCTGGAATCTCTTTTACAATATTAAACTTGACAATTTTTTAAAACTTTTGAAATATTTCACATTTTTAGAATATTATTATTTTTTAAATTTCTTCATTAATTAATCAATTTAGAGTTGATTATTGATTTTATCCTGTCTATTATTCCTGGGAAATCGCAGGAAGTCATGAAGGGCATGCAACTCGTGTACGATCTCGCGAAGTTTCGACGGCCGTCACAGATGAATCCGGAAGAGATCGAGGTGATACAGAGGCAGCAGATGCAACAACAACAGACGGTCCTCAATCTGGACGCCAACGCGTCGGACACGCCGGGAACACCGGCAATGTCAGCATATGCCATCGACGACGAATTTAATCTGCCGATCTCGGTTGCGATCGTCATCCTCCTGGCCTACATCTTCATAGGAGCTACTCTGTACTACATGTGGGAGGAGTGGAGTTTCTTCGAAAGTTTCTACTTCGTCTTCATCTCCATGAGCACTATCGGCTTCGGCGATTACGTGCCAAAGGTGATTATCTCCTGAATGTCAATCAAACCGAACATTCTCCATGACGGCAACATCTCTCTTTGTATAGCGATTTGTAGATGTTTATGATTGATATAAATCAAGAGAGATAAATCATACGAAATAAAGGTATTAATGATAATTAACAGAAATTGTTTGAGTAGGGCATATTACTTAATTAATATTTCATTTAAGTAGTACATGAATAATGATTTATTACTTGCTACGATATTAGTTTGCTTTGCATAAGAATAGCACGATCGCGAATTTTGTTTCATTTGCCCTTAGCGCCCTTTTGAATTTATCGCTTCGAATTTATAATCCCACGATTTTCATCTTGTACAACAAACGATTACTCTAGTGTGTCTTTCTTTCTTTCACGGTGGCGTTCAGATGGTAAGCTTTTCAATATGCAAAAACTTTCTCGAAGAAAAACCGTATATCATCGTACAGACAATGTTTTTCACATGCTTATTTTCTTTTGCAAATCGTTTCGTATTAATGAATTTACAAATCCCATGGAAATCCATGATTCGCAAAATTTAACACAGATTGATTGATTGATTTAGAATCCCATATACATGATGTGTTCGATAGTATACTTGGTGTTTGGTCTGGCGCTCACGTCCATGTGCATCAATGTCGTACAGGTGAGCAAAAGAGTTTTCATAAATTTTTCACATTCCTATCTACCAAAAAAATATATATAAAATTTATACAGAATAATGTTAAAATTATATATTAAATATATTAAACATTATATATATTAAAATATTATTAATATTATTGGGAGACTGAATGCATTATAGTTCTAAAATTTTCTTTTCTGTTTCTTATTTCTAAATAAAACAATTTTCATGTTGGCAAATTTTGATGTTAATTAACATCTGAAAAATATATCGCGAGAAGAATATATATATTTTTAATTAGCAATAATAAATTCAATAGTTGAATTATAGCTAATATAATATTCTTTACATTTAATGCTTTATTCGCGTATATGATTGTTTTGATTTAACAATACAACGATTAAAATTGAAACTATGCTGCTAAACTATGAACCAAGAAAATGGTGTTCATTAAACCGATTGAATTAGCCCGATTGTATCGCTGTCAGGTGATGCTGTCAGACTCATTCAAGCAAGCGAGCCAAAAGATCGGTGCCACGATTGGCTTCGAGGTCGCCGAGGACGACAACTCGGTGAAACCAGCACCGCCACCGCCGATCGAGATCGCGGACGTCCACGTGAGTTTGAAGGAGTCCGAGAGCGACGAAAAGATCGCGCCCAAGGCCAAACAAGAGGACGTCGATCTGTAGATGCATTTCTTTCTCAGAGAAACTCTTACACATCCAGATCGAGTGCTAACTCGTTCGCTCATTTCTTGAAATACGCGTGCGTTTTTCCGGTCTAAAAGAATAATCGTCTGTTGGCTTATATAACGCACGGGATACACAGTAACTATTTCAGCACGCACGCAAAATCAAGCTTTGCGATTCGGGAAATCATCGTCAAACAATCGTCATTCAAGGGGCCGTCTTTACATCTGAGATCTGTACGAAGTTTGACTAATTGTAAGACAACTAATCTTGGAATGTTTGACGTTTTTCAAGATTGAATTTGAGGATGAATGTTTCAGTCAGGTCTAATTAATAGTTCTACTTATTTTCAATAAGCTGAACTACTGTGGAATTCAATATTTTTTTTTGAAGTTCGATTCTGAGAATCTTCAAATTCTTCTGTCGACATAAAGACGGTTCCACATTTTGACTGCATCAGCAGAGAATTTTTTAAAGCATTATACGCTATTACACATTCGTCTATCGTTGAGATTACGTCGAATAAACATGATCTTCTCAAATTGTATATATTTCTGAAACGCGCAAATACCGATAACAACTTTATGAAACTGGAGATCTAATCGTGCCTCTATCAATGCGATCAACGAGTTGCCTGAAGAGATGAAACTCTAAATGATGAACTCCGATAGAAATTTATCTGTAAAACGATGTGCATAATCCAACGAAAGTATCGAAACAAAATTGTCCGAAACGATACGCACAAATATTTAAATGATGTCTCGTCAGGCGAATCTCGTATACTGAATTTATGATAATCTTGGAAAGAAGCTTTAATTACAGAAAATCACACTAATGGTATGATGGAATATCACTTGCTGTCCATATTTTACAATTTGGATATGATTTTAAAAATAGAATAATAATTCTGCTTTATAAAATTTTATTCTAAAAAAAAAATTGAGACTTTAAAAAAAAAATAATTGTACAATTGTAGGTTATATATATATATATAAGATAAAAAGTTTGTCACGTTTTTATATTATTTATCATTATATAGTATTACATATTTCACAATACCATTGGTAGATAGAGCAATTCTTCAATTTACAGTAAATAAAATGTTTGTCATATTGCGCGATATCTCCAGTAGTAGTAATTATTGATACGATAAATTGCGAGAAACTATTTTTCTTAAGATACATACATCGAACAAGAGAAATATCGCCTCTCTGCAGCCGCGCTCTTGCCAAATATATTCGCGGGTCAGAATATATCTCGCGACTTATTTTTCGTAGTCTAGTGTCTATTGACAATAAATATAAGGAAATTCAAGTATTTTGTATATTCTGTAATTCATCATAATGTGATTTCCTTCCTGAGTTGACTTTTATATGTCATGCAAAATATGAAATTTGAGAGACGATCAATGGCCTAACTCCTTTTTCTGCTAGTTTTAATTCTTTTTCTGTAAATTATTCTACGATTTTCTCTTCCGTTGGGATTGAAAGAAAGTTAATTCTTGATAAATTTTTCTTTGTATAAAAACCAAATTTAACTTCACAATTTACGCGGCAGTCGTTAATCCTTTTGCGAGATTAACGGAATCCTATCTATATAATATATATACAAGAAATAAATAAATGTAAAAAATTATATTAAAAAATATGAATGTGGAAACTTATTTCATAAAATTAAGATATTAAAAAAAAATTAAATCAATTTAATATCTAGAAAAATTTAAAGATCTTGAAAGTAATCTTTGATTTTGGAAATTAGAGATTCAAGATTTTATACAATAATTTTCTATCATTTTCTCTCTTATTCTTTTATATTTTTTCTATAATTTTTCTTATAAATGTGTCATTATATGATATCATCGTATAACAATAAAGAAATTAAAGCCTAACGGGAGAGTTCCGATTTCTGCGAAGACAAAACACTCGTGCCTTTTCAAAAATAAAAATAAATTAGTTGATGAATTTTTATGATAGATACGGCAAAGATTCCTGCATATGATAAGGCTTAATCCATAATCAGTTTTGCTTGGCAGGAATATTAATTTCTTAATTCTACGTTAAAAGTGGACGGTTTGGTGATTATATGGTGTTTTGATGATATTACTATTCGTTGAAAATTCACGTAAAAATTAAAAGAATTGAGTGTATAAATTTATCACTGTAATAAAATACTTCATAATATTATTGTAATTATTATTATCGAATTTATCATATTTATTATATATGTTTGTTATGCAGAAGTTTTAATAATATTTAATTTTGATATTTTTTTTCTACTTTCTCTTTTTACATCAATCTTTTTCTTCTAAAAAATATTTTGTACTTTTTAAAAATCGATGGATCATGAATTACAAGGAAAAAAAATTTTTAGTAATATGAAAACAATTTATATAGATTCCTTTTTGTAGATTTTCTTTTGGAAATTTGAATCTACAAGATTTATTTTGCTTTTCGTCGAGAATCGAATACTCAAGCGAGAAGTTGATCGATACGAGCTCGGATATTTTTTTTTGTCGCAACGCCTTTTGTTGGCAATCCTGCATCCATATGGAACATTGCTCTGTTGCCTTTCCAGTGAGGAACTAAGACTAAGATGGCCAAAGGATGACAACATACAGCTATCAACTGGTGCGAACGACTGACATTTCAAGGAGACTGGAGGGAAAATGTCTCACGTACAGTATGTAGACGAGTTAGTCAAGGAGTACTTGCTCTTCAGGGGCTTTAGTCAAACTTTGAAAGCTTTTGATAATGATTTGAAGGCTGAAAAAGAAAAAGGGTTTAGGGTGAGAGTTGTTATGTTTATCTATGTTTTTATACACAAAATATATTACTTTATAAATAGAGATATTCTTACATATTCTATATGCTGTAATATATGGAAGTTGTCAATATCAACAAGATGTTCCATGTTTAATTGAACAGGTAGATAAAATAGTTGATCAATTAATGCAATATGTATACAATTATGATCTGGCGTCGCTGAGGGAATTGTGGGGACACTTGGATACTAGAATGTTTTGTCGATTGGAAAGTCATTTTACACCTGCAATCAGAAAATTGGAGAATGCTGTATTAAAAATGTATTTGGTGAATGCGGCTGTAAATGGCAAGCAAGATAGGATACAGGAATTTTTTACCAAAATGGCACCAGAGCTACAGGGTCACTCAGAATGGAAGGAGTGGTTTGGTATATCTCTTATTCAATTAATGAATTTATAACGTTGCAAGTTTGTAAAATTATAATTTGTACGCTTTGTAATATTACAGCACTTCCTTTTATCAAAAATCCCGAAGACAATCCAACTTACTCCGTTCATTTTAGTAAGCAATGGCACGATACTATGTTGGTATCCTTACATAATTTCCTAGCAACAATTTTTCAAGTAGGTAGAAAGATATTTTATTGCACTGTACACACACACATATCTCTAAATAAAGCTAAATTTGATTTCCTTATTAAATGATAGATCAAATAATAAAGTTAAATGTTTTAAATGCAAGTTATTATTTCAATTAAATACGTTTTTAATCAACGCGAATATTTGATTAATTTATTATTTTCCTGTTATAAAACAAAATAGATAAAATATATTTCAATTATATAGCATAAAATATGATATTAAGAAATTTAATATGTTGTTATCTTAGTGTATGCCACAGCCGACATTACTAACGATAGACGAGGATACAAATAAATTAAAACGATTGCAAGAAGAGAATGAAATATTGAGGCAACGATTGAGTGAATCTGTTAAAATAGAAAACATATCTGATGTGAATCCAGGCTCGGCACCTCAACATCTTCCTATCATGGACGATTTTTATATCATTGCTCAGTATGTTCACATTAGCTGTAAAAACTTTCATAAAAAAAGTATAAATTTTTAACATGATCATTGATATTTAATTAACAGAGAATCGCCGTTACTGGAAAATCCTAAAACATTAAGGAATCTCATAAGGAACATAGGTGGTGGATCCAGTCCAATTTTGAGTAGAAAGCCAGCAATAAACGTAAAAAAGATCGCGGAACCTGAAATGTGCTCGACGAAACGGACAAACACGAAAGGGCGGGTAAATTCGATCAGCAAGTCTGAGGCAGTTGCCAAGAGGAGCATCAGCTGTGATTCAAGATTAAGTAGTTCTAGAAAAAGAGACTCTTCTATGGATACTGCTATCGAGAGGAAAACTAAAGAAAAGTTAGATTCCAGTTATATTCTTTTAAGCCAGGTAAATAATCGCTAATCTCAAGAAATTTCTGTTACTAATTACTTTATAATTGCTTGTATACATAATTTGTGTACTATGTTTACAGGAAGAATATACAGAACACAAGACCTCCATAATCCAATGCAAGAGCAATGCCAGTGGATCATACGTCGCGACGGGCGATGCCGATGGTATTATCAAAGTATGGACGCCGATTCCCTCGCCAAAGTAATAACACGTTCATATAATTTTCTTGATCCGATGCAATGTCGATACGTGATTCTTACTATAGATGCTTTTATTAGGACCGTTACTACGTTCACTTCCGCTACGGTAAATTCCAACAAGGCTATTACTTCGTTAGACTGGATATCGAAGAATGAACGTTACTTTTTGCATGGCGACAATAATGGCTTAATCCAATTGCACGATACTCGAGATTGCAAGACGCTTTGGGATATCCAACACGAGAATTCACGAATACTCACTTTAATCTGTAATCCGACGGAATCGACGTTCGTCTGCTCCGTGTCGGACGGCAGCGAGGGCAAACTACTGCTATACGACATAAAAACGAGGAAGCTCGAGAGAACGTTGCCGCTGGAGCAAAACGTCACCGCTTTATGTTCCACGTTCAATCATAACGGCCAATTACTTATCACGGGATTGTCCAATGGCAATATATTAATACATGATCTGAGGCGAAACGAGATAATAGACAATCTCAACTGCCACTCTAGCCCGATAATCGATATAGAGTTAATTAACGATTTTACAAATATATGCGCGCAAAGCGAGGACGGTAAACTATGCCAAAGAAGCTTGAATCACTCGGGAAAGATCTTGTGGGAGACCAAAATAAAGATCGATAAGAATCCTGTTCATGGGAAGCTATTCACCTTCGATCAAAGTGGTAGTTATATGTTACTCTGCACACAGACTGGAGGAAATATATATAAGGTATGCACATTATTCTATATAAGAGTACAAACATGCTTAATTATATACAATTGTGTAATATAACTTATTCTGACATCTGTCTTACTATAACAGATGCCACCAGGCGCACAAGGAAAGATTTTAGAACTAGGCGGACATAAGGGTACCCTATGTTGCGACTGGTCGACTGCCAATCAATCTGGAACTTGCATAACTGGCGGCGCGGAAGGAAAAGCACGAGTATCGACGCTACTCTCACCATGATATAGGAACAAAATTAGCATCTGTATAAATTCGTAAGACAAATAGTTACTAATGATATTAACGAAAGATCTTGTAGATATATTATTTTACTCAGATTAAGCTCACAAATGGCTGCAAAACAAATAAACATTATATTAGATTTTAAAACATTATATTACGTATATCGCCAAAGCATTGGTAATAAGTATAAAAAGAAATTCAGATATTTTATGGAAAGTACAATGTATCCCGTCTTGAAATAGTTACAAGTATACTCTGTAATATAATAATCATCTTCTATCTTTGAAAAAAAGCAATCAGGGATTATCAAATGTGTAAAATGTACAGAGATTATTATAGGGAAAATCTCTCTCATATAAGTAGTCTCCGAAATTATATCAATTATATGACAATTTTACTCGGTTTTATAATATAAAAAAAGAAAAAAGAAAAAAAAAAGAAAACTAAGACAGAATGTTATATAAAATTATGATTAGAGAAATAAAAGGCATGTACAAAAGATCAAGAAAATGTCAATAAATACAAGTCAATTTTAGAACAGAACGCATTATGCATTTCCCAGAGTTTTTGGCAATTAAATTTGTATAAGATTAATGAATTATGGTATAGACTATTTTACTATGTTATATTCTTTCATTTTTTCATATTTTAAAATGTTATTTTAGCTTCTTTCCTCACCTTTACATTTACAATGAAAAGAGTTTTAAATTCGATCTTCTCATGGACCATCTGTTAAAGGGACCTGTCATATCTAGCTGCGGAGACCAATATCTCCTAAGTGCTTCATTTATCTCTGAAGGAGTAAATGGTTTTGTTACGACATTCTATAAAGAAAAAATAAATAGTATATATTATCTTATGCTAATTATATATTTTTCAACAAATGCAATATCTACCTTGCCATGATAATACGGTTTGTATGTAAATGGATTAACATAATTGAGTCGTTGTCGATCTATGGCATCGCCATGCATTTTAATTTGATCTTGTCGGACTAAGAAAGTGAAATCAATAATTTGAGCAACTGTTTCATATGCAAGATAACTTAAGATTGTGTATGCTTGTTTTGACAAAGTGATATCACCTACAAATTACAAAATATGAAAATTGAAATACCATAATAAAAAATATATAATAATTTTAATCCAAAGATAATACCATCTAAGCCAACCCAATCGCTGAATTTATGACGATTCTTGTTCACAAAGGACACACGACGTGCCTTGCTATATTTTATGTAACGCATTTCATCCATGGACCTTGTCGCGATATCCGCACGAATGCACCTACGTCGCTTAATCTCATCCATAGTGGATGAATTTTCAAGAAGTTCACCTGTGTTGTCAATCTGTTCTAGAAAAGCTTGAAATGGCACTTTCTTCTTGGTATTGTCCAATTGTTCAGAATCTACAATACTTTGTGGAGTATCGTTCATCATAGCTTTTTGAACTGAGCCTCCCAAGTCTTTGAGATCTAAAAAGAAAAGTATTACTCTATAAAAAAAGACAAAAAGGGGGGGGGGATATGCAATGCACGTAATTAGGAAATTCCATTACATATATTTAAACCCACGCACCAAGATATTTCAGAAGACGCTGAAGTTTAATCTTGTCTTTACGCAATAAGAAAATAAAGTCCTCTCCGTTAATGATATTATTCTTCTTCGAACCGGCTCGTCTATCGGCAATTTCGCACGCTCTACCGACAATAGCTCTCATTTGTTGCAGCACAACATCCTCTATAATCTTAGCAGATTCAAACAACGGTTCACTACTATCGCCGAATCCATGCATCATTTGTCGAATATCTAAAATTATTCAAATATATTGAAAATATTTAAATTTGATTTAGTATCTAACCTCACAAATTACTAGAAGCACTCACCCTGAGTGTAATTCAATGTTTCAGTATCTGCGGGCTTTGAAAATGACGCTTCTGCCATTCTCGTTTAATTTTGTTACTTTTTGATCAAATGACAACGATTAATGAGAGACTTTTCTTTCAAAACAATAAACAGCATACTGTCACGTGCATATAAATATTTACACCTAGTGATTTAAAGGTAAAAATAAAAATAGATTGCTAGTGCTGCCACACGCTGCCATTGAGCCATGAATAAAGAAAAAAAAAAAAATATATATATATAGGTGTAGGAGGATGGAAAAGAATATAAATATATATGTGACTTATATAAATATATCAAATGAAAAAAAATAAATAAAAGAAATTGAGATTGAAATGATCAAGAATTTTTATTTTATTTACTGCTATAAATCATTGATCTATTATTTCCCGCAACATCAACATGAGAGCTAGAGAAGTTTTATAATGTTTGTTCACTTATATAAATTCTTACATATAAATTATTTAATGGGCGAAAACGTTCTTTGCAATAGGAAGAATAATGTATTACTTGTAAGTCTTTTATTATTCAGTATGTTCTGCCACAACATGTTCTGGTACAACTTTAGCAACTTTCCGGAATTCTTTGCATAAAGACTTTGGACATTGCATTTGTGTCCAGCTGATTGGTACCATGGCTACGCCTATTTAAAATAAATTGTTATTACAAAAAGGCTGGAAAAGATGTATATTGAATATCTTTACCTTCTTCACTATGTGCTATAACAACTCCTAGCTCATTTTCCGCAGTACTCAATTGATAAGTATGTGCTTCTGTCATTGGCATCTGACAAGAAATATATAGGGAAAAATATAGGGAAAAAAAAGCAGTAACTATAATCTTGATGCGTAAATTATTTTCTAGAATAAATTTAAAGGATACAACTCTTGCAAGAATAATATCTCCAGGTCGATAGCATTTATACATTTCTAGTCTATCTTTGTCAATTGCTCGAACATCTTCTTTTCTTAATATCCCTCTATAAGGTCTCGTCAATACTATGTCACCTATACACTTGATGCTACATTTACAAAATCTCTGATTAACTATAGTGACTACAGCTGTCACAATATCCCCTGGTGCAGGAACGATACTCTGCTCTGTTATACCGTGTACCTCAATTGTACGAGTCTGCAACAACATGCATTTAAAAATATATTTATTCTATCATTTCAAATAGAATGACATCTTTACTTTTCCAAAATACAGAAACTAACTTTTTCGTTTGTTATTAATTTCACAATGCCAGCAAGCTTCGAATAAATATAACCCTGCTGCTCGTATGTCCCAGATCCGGCTATATTAACTTTATCAGATACACATAATCTTTGACCTGTAAAAAATTGATTAAAAAATTATTTAACGTGCTTGCAAAGCTTAAACTACTAAAAATAAATGAGAATAATTACCCGGTACACAAATAAGTTCTTCTTGTTCGTTCATTATTTTATTTTGTTCATATATAATTTATATCGATAATTAAATCTATATTTATAGAAAATATTAATCTGTTGTAAATAATTGTATCAATGATCTATGTGAGAGACATCATGATATATACAAATCGATTTATTGTGTAAAAAAAATTTAATTTAATTTGATAGAAAAAAGGTCTTTCTCTTTCAACCAAAGGTTATGTTAATCATATGTTCTTTCGGACGATATCACTGCTAGGGTATATTCAAAAATCCTATCCGTGAAGTAGAGTAATAGCATTTAATTGACCAATCAGGACAAAGAAATCTTTGCTCCTTTTATCTTGATTGGCCAATTAAAGATTACTGTACCTTACGAGTAAGATTTCCGAACGCACTCCTAAATTGAAGTTGGTTGTGCAAATATCATGTCACGTGACTAACGTAAATAACTCGACGAGGTGACGTCACGATATCGTTTCGATACTTCGAGAATCGCAAGCATTCGATAGAGTTCTACCGACGCGACAAATTGTATACCTCTGCATTTTTCGCGATTGTTATCGTCTAAAAAGTGAATCTCGCGCGGGAAGAATTATCGGGAGTGTTTTATAAAGTGTTCGTTAATGCCTTTGTAATGTAAACACCATACACAACGGCTATTGTATCGCGTATCGACAATCGGAGTTTTTGCGGAGTTGACCGATATTATCTTCGAGTATCTGATCGTCGTCATTTTCGCGCCAAAGTGCATCAGGGTATCAGAAGTACAAAGAATGTATGATGCCATTATTACCAAGTATGTATATCTCGTCGTAATTAATTGCATTAGTTGTACTATTTCAGGTATTAGAAAAACCCGTAGATAATATAATAGATAAATCGAATTCGCTATATTTTCTGATCTCGCAGCATTTTGCGCATCGACGAGATAATGTTAGAGAAGAGGTCATGATTATAATATATACAGAATAATAATTAAATCATAATAAATATATTGAAATATTGGTTCAAAAATGAATTAAAGCATCATATTCGATTTATCACGAGATTATATTAAAGATCGCTAATTTTTTATAATAATTACGCGGTTTGAAAAAAACATTCTCCGTTCACTAGCGTCATCTCGGAAAATCTTATGGAAGTTATTAGTCAACCATAGATGGTAAGTTATCCACTTACAGTTTTATCTGAATAATCGGAATGTTCAATACATCATGAAATTTATAATAAATTATATAAATTATAATATTTTTGTTTTATTATATATGTATTTTATATTTATAAAATTTTGTATTACATTTGCAAATCAAATTTTAAAGATATTAAAGAATAATATCGCGAAAAATTGGATTTAAAATGGACAATCATATTAAACATTTATACTTTTGCAATCAATTAAGTAGTAAATTTTTAATATAGTATTGTTATTTATCGTGCTTTAATTAATGCAAATATTAAAAGATATACACACACAAACATAAAATATGTATCTTTTTATATTTAAAACAGTTTTATTTATATTTATATTTAAATATGTATTATATATATATGTGTGTATTTTTTTAAATACATTTTTTGCATGTATTTTGAAACTAAACGCAATTTCGAAAACTGAACAGTATTATCATGTAATATGATTTTTATGTAAAAATACGATGGCATAAACGAATAATGGTATAAACAATGTTTTCAATTCTCGTAACAACAAATATTGAAAAAATTTCAAATCAACTCTCGCTGATTGTTGTACTCAATATCGAGAACCGTTTTCAGTTTTATCGGCGGCTATGAGTTAATCACCGATAAATGATTAATGCGCGTTCCCGAGAAAATTAAAGCTTCTCGTCGTAAAGCTGCGTGCGGATCGCATCGCGCCGCGAATGCCACGTATCGCGGTGGGGTTTAATAATAAATTTCAACTTAATCAACACGTGGGAAGAAGCTGCTTCGCGAAGCGCGCATCGATGTATCTCGCGGACCTCGTTTCATTACATTGCGAAAGATGAGCCGTTAATATGTGAGAAATCCGGTTTTTAGATGAACGCACAAGATACATATCGAGTGTCCCAAAAAATCAAATGTCTCTTTGATTGCGTATTTTCTTAGCTAATTTAATTTATCGAAGTTTTTTTAACCAAGATATCGAGATATAACAATAGTTAAGTAAGTAATGGTTCCTAAAAGTAGTGATCAAAAATAAAGAGTTTCTCAAATTAAATTTTAAAATAGCAAACACATAATAATAAATAAATAATATTCATTAATTAATTTCGAATGATTTTTGCTTTAGCAAAATTTTTATTTCATGCTTGATTTTGATATGTAAAGTTGAAAGTTGGAATATTTCCTCAATCCTTTGCTAAAAAAAAAAAAATAAATTCTGAATTTATATATATGTACTCATAATGATATCTTTTAAAGAATATTCGGTAATTTTGAAGCACTTTATACACACGATAGCGAGTAATATTTTTATTATCGACATCATTCATCGAAAAAATGCGCGGCTAACAAATTATTTTCGGGCATAAATCAATACTCTATGACGTCCTATTGAAATTTCCAACGATAAGATTAACAGTCATTTTGCATACTTATTAAACTAGCACTACAAATCGTTGAAAATACGTCATTTTTATCGGTGACTCGCTGTTTCCTACGTCTTGAAGTCATTGAAAATTATAACTAACTATATATACATAATTAGACAAGGCCGTTTACTTTTTTCTGTATCAAAAGATAATGACTCTGTCATAGAAATTTGTGCGTGGTTCTTTTCCATAATTCTTTTTCAACGTTCAACGATGAAGCGATCATCGTCCTTCTTTCTCGTACGAGAGATTGTCGTAAATATTAGACGCGCGAATTTTGCATAACGAATTCGGCGGCGATTCGAATGATTGATGAAGTACCATCGAAGAATGCCTTAATCGGCGATCGGTTCTTACTAGGCCTCATTATGAGCGGCCCAGCAGAGTCAGCTGGATCGGCTTTATCTCGGATCTAAGGGAGGACTAGCCTTGTTAGCAAGCTGAACTATGGACTATTACATTTATCTAACTTGATCCACCGAAGTCGGAACACCGTCGTGTCTCGTGGGTTTCTCGGTAAGGCAGTGATGGATACTTCATGGTTAACATCCTGACACCGTCGCACAGTGAACCGAAAGCCGCGTCCTCTTCGCGCCGCATCACGAGGGAAAAACGTGCCTCGCAAACCTAATTTCGGCCCCGGCCCTTCCTTCACGATCGTCAGGACACGACCCGGGGTCCCGAATTTTTCAGGCCGGCCTTTCGTATCTTATCAAGTATCATGTTTTACCGCGCCTTGTAAACCTTCGCTGCTAAAATATGACCCAAACAAAGTTTCTTTATATTAAGAGGGTGTCTATATATTTTTTTCAGAAATAAAAAAAGAATAGAAGAATGTAGAAGTTAAGAATAAATAAGTAAGAATAGAAAATTATAATAATAAATTATAATAATGATGGAGAAATAAAATCTACCGTATAATTTACGAAGGGCTTTGAAAAAATGTCGACATTTATATTGTAAATCATGTATCTTATCTTATCTTATTTCGTCTGGTAATTCAAGTCGCTTTTGGCGATAATAAGACGATAATAGCAACGTCAAGTTTCGCTTTGCTTTCACAATTATAATACATATCACCATTGATCAGTTCAATCTCTATTATCTTATTCTTATTACTACTCTCAAATATATATATAAGGCATAAGGAATTGTTTCGTCGATTTCGAGATCATTACCATTAGATTATGAAATCGCCGCGAGTGGAAGACGACGAAAGACGTCGCGGCATCGAGCCACACGGCGTTGCCGCCCCGAGAGATAAACCCAGAATTATGATGGTGCCCGTTTAAGACAATTAAGGTGAAACCGGTTAGCAACACGTGTTACAACGAAAGTCTTTCCCGGTCGGACTCATAACCCGGCGTCATGTCTTCTAACTAGGACCCGCTTAAGCCACCCTTAAACCGCGGCGGAATTACTAACCGGCTCTCCCTTACATCAACGGGAATGTTGGCGCGACAATCCTTGTACCGGACCAGTTTGCTGACCGATCGGTCAAGTGTTGTCCCGGGCCCGACGAGGCCCGCGGCTTCGTCGGACTTGACAATACTTGCACCGTCCTCGTCGCTCGCGAGATGAAGAGATATAGCTCCACAGCCCCGGCGACTATACGCCGGTTCGACGATGTCATTTGTTACGGCTGTATCAGATGCTCGCACATGCGCGACACGTACGCGGATGCTCGCGAGCGGGCCCAAAATCGCGGCCGCATGACATGCGCCGAACAGGAGGCACCGAATAGGGCCCTGCGGGGAAAGCGAACCGGGTCGCGGCGACTGGTCGTCGGGCTCATTTTCCCCGGGGACGAATACATGAAGGAGCAGGAAGAGAGCGGCGGTAAGATGGAATCTAGATATAAGAGTCCGCTCCGCGATGTTGATCACGTTCCCGACGAATTTGAGAGGACAAAAGGGATCGTAGCGGGACGAGAATTGAGTCGTTTGTGAGTTTTTATAGAGTAAACGATACGCGAATGGACTGCTTAAGACCGGTTGCGTGAGACATGTGATTCTCGAGAGAATCAACACACATCTACCTGATAACTCTTCTCGTGTACTTTTCTAACATTCATAAACGTTAATCGCACGCGAGATTTAATCAATTTATCGTTTTATATAATTAATAAAATATTGTATGTTTGTAAAAATTTACGATATTGTGTGTGTAGTGATGACAAGTTCAATTAATTTGATAATCTCAAAATATATGCCATGAGAAACCGAAATATGCAGCGACGAGAATTCATCAAAAATTAAGTTTTAAGTAGAAAAAAATAGAATGGTCAGGCAATTTTAGCAGTTCTTTATCTATTTGAGATGCGATATCAATTGAATCGGACGGAAGCGTATCGAAGCGTACGGAAGCGAAGCTTCGTTGATATTCAGTGAAAGTCAAAACAATGCTACTATAGTAGCAAGGCAGGATGATCAGGATGATTCGGGAGATTTTTGTGTGGCGCTGCGGAATTTGTCGCGTCACAGGATGACAATCGTAGATACCGCAAAAAGTTTCATTCTGACATTATTAATAGTCGACACGTGATGCGCTTATTCTTCCCAGACGGCAGATGTAAGCCGGATAAAAAGAACGATCATGTGTGGAACGCGACCCTAAGTCGAGTTATGAACATTTTATAATGTATT